TAGCGCCGCCTGAGCCACAGGCCATATGGAACAAACGGCCGGGGCTGCCTCCCAGTAGCTTTCCCTTTAAAACCTGGGTGGCGGTCTGCCCCCCGATTAGGTAAATCCGTCCAAGCAGAGCAGGAGCCGGAGTCAGGCCCCAGTCAGAGGTTGGTAAGTGCCAGGAGTGAACATCGACAAGGGCAGGGCGGTGAGTCGTCCCATCTGAGAGGACCGTCCGCTGGGTGTCCAGCCAGGAGCCAGGAGCCGGGCATCGCTGGGACAGCTCTGCCCGCTCCAGAGGAAGCACAGAACACGTGAGAAGGTTCCCAGAACGGTTCCGGGAGGCTTAGTGCCTTTTAAGTTTGGACACCTTTACTGTTAGAGACAGGCGAGAGCCTCAGTCCTTGAATATTTTCATCTTCAGGGGGCAAGGATTCTACGTACATCACATTTACTGAGTATGTATTGTTTTAGAAATATTGACCCATTAGAACTAACAGGTCAGCCGTGCAGTTCAGTTTCAGATGTGTGATTGAGTTACTGGTGGATTTAACCTTGTTTTAACTGGAATGTTTTAGTAAGCCTATTGACAGAATTAGAACACATAAACTTAAAACTCACCCCATTTACAACTTATTAGATCTGAGTTTTTGACAAGTTCCATAACGAGGACACCATACAACTTAAAAAGGAAAATAAACATATTAAAATTTAAAAGGCAAGGGTGTCTGGGTGGCTCAGTCCGCTAAGCGTCTGCCTTTGCCTCAGGTCACAATCTCAGGGTCCTGGGATCGAGTCCCATATTGGGCTCCCTGCTCAGTGGGGAGCCTGGTTCTCCCTTTCCCTCTGCCTGCCACTCCCCCTGCTTGTGCGCTCTATCCAATAAACAAATAAAATCTTCAAAAAAAAATTTTAAATGCAGCTTATAACATTGAAAATTATGTAACTCCTTCCACAAGTGGGATCAAACGCGGACTAACAGTCCCCTTAAAATCTGCTAGACTGGAAAAAAAGATTTGTAAATTGACCTGAAAGCTTAGAAAAGAACTAGATATTAGTATCCATATGTTTCGTGAGTCCAACGTCCATTTTCAAAACCAAAATAGTCTTTCACATACAGAAAAACAGTAGCAAGGTATGACCACGTGGTCATCTGCAGAGCACGGGGCGTGAACTGTTCTCAGCTCCTGAGTCAGTCCCTCAGTTGGGTGCTTGGTTTGAGAAGACACGAAGGCTCGTGGCTCATCCACAGGACACTCCTTCGGTCTCCAGCCAACAGCTAAGATCTGACTACTTACCTGGTGCTTCTATCCGCCTATGTTCTCAGGAGGAACAAAAAAGGCGATTTCCTGTAGACTTACTCTTTTAGCCTTTTAGTTGACAGTAAAGGCACTCATACTACAAATTCAAAAATTACCTGGTACACTGAAAATCTCCTTTACCTACACCTGATGCAAATTCCCTCCCAGAGGTAACCGCTGTACTTGGCCTGAAGTACGTCCTTTCAGGCCTTTTTCCATTTGCTACTTGCTTTCTAGTCAGTTATCCATTTTAAGTTCTTCTCATGTTCTTTCACTCGAGCCATATAGTTTTAAGTAATCTCTACACCCAGCGTGGGGCTTGAACCTACAACCCTGAGATCAAGAGTAGCATACTCCCCCAACTGAGCCCGCCAGGGGCCCCACAAGCCATGATTTTTAAGGCTATTTAAATAATGTGTATATAACTCCATGACAACATAAAACACAATTCACTTTTTACCCTACCTGTTTTCGACACGTGGTTCTTTTTTTTTCCTTCCCCCTTTGGTCATGTTTTCATAAATGTACGTGGACCTACACTAATCTTTGACAACTAACACCAGTAGGTAACCACTAACCTATTAACAATCACTCTGGGTGCTCGCTAATATTTCACTACTGTAAAGAATCCCGCAACGAGGATTTCCTGTATGTTTTGTGCACATAGCTAGATGTCTCTAAGTGAAACCTCTGGATCAAAGAAAGTGCTTAATCAGATTTGCTAAATCGCCCTCCAAATGGGCTTGGGTTCCCAAGTGTTCCTGTCCTTCTATGGGTTTCAGAGGCTGAGAAAAGACAAAAAAGAAAAATGCAGAGGGTCGGGGGCTTGTCAAAAAAGGGGCAGCAATAGGAGGTCCCAACAAAACTCACCAGGATAGACCAGGAAGTCACCCCCGAACTTGCCAGCAGCACTGAGGAAGAAGCCTCGCTCCCACAGGTCTCTGTAGATGCTGTAGCGGAGCTCATGGGCAGGACGGCCAGCATGAGGCCAGTCTTTGGACTGGACACGCCAATCCAGGGGCCTCGCCTTGATGGGCCGAGGCCTAGCAGTGGCCAGCTGGACCAGCAGGGCAGACCTGGGCAAGGGGGCCACCTCATTTGAAGGCCCTGGCTGGGGAGAAGAGGAACCTGGGGGCGGTGAATGCAGGAGAGAGTGGTGAATCCAAGGACAGGGTTTTCCCATCCCCCAGAGAGACCCAGGTCCGAGATTCCCGCCCAAGATTCCCCAAAGATCTCCCACCTCCTTCCGCTGGCCCCTGGACTCCACTCCCACCCTCACCTGCTTCCTCGGGCTCCACAGGAGCCTGGCTAGCGCTGGCCTCACTCTCCGCAGCAGCCGGGTTCGCACCGGCCCCCTGGCTCTCGCTGACCCCTGACTCCTGTTCCAGCTTCTGCTTCTTCGCAGCCTGGCCCTCCGCAATCTTCTCTAGGAGCTCCTGACGACGAGTCTCGCGGGCCTCAGCTGCCAGGGCGCTTTGCTCCTGGAAGCCCTGCTCTTGCTGGCGTTTGAAGGATGCCAGAGCCTGAGAAGTAAGCCGGCGGGAATGCCAGGATCCAAGTCTGCCCCGCCTTAGGAAGCCAGGAACCCCGACTCCCTGACTCCTCCCAACCCCAAAGCCCGAACCCGGGGATCCTAGTGTCCTGCATGCACACTATTCCAGAATGCAGGGCGCCCAGAAGCCCTCCCACCGCAGGGACCCCGAGTCTACTTCCGCAGGTCCAAGGCGTTCGCGTCCCTGGCCCGCTCCTTACCAGGCCGTGTTGGCGCGGATCCGGGCGCGGGGCGCTGACCAGGGTCACGGCGCCGATCTCGGCCAGAAGCCGCGCCTCTTCGGGCATCAGCAGCAGCGGGAGGCCCAGGCGCGAGTTCTGGCGGGGCCCGCGGGGCAGGGCGCCCACCGTGCGGCCCCCCACTCCCAGACGCTCCCGCAGTGCCTGCACCGCCTCGGCCCCCCATACCAGGGAGCGGCCGTTCGCGACCTCCACCACCAGCATCCTCCTGCGGAAGCCGGGGGAGCACAGAGGTCACCGTCACAGCGCTCCCACCGCCTGGGGTGGGGTGGGGGTGGAGGGTCTCAGCGAGGCCCCGCCCCTAATCCTGGAGGGTGGAGCCTCGCCCCGGCCACGTTCGCCACCTGCCCATTCTCCAGGCCGGGCCCCGCCCCCTGGGCTCCAAGTCGCTAGGGCGCCGCTGGGCCCCCCGGACCCTGAGGTCAGCGTTCCGGCCATCACGCCTTCTCAGCTCGGAGAGAAGCCTCCCTTAGTGCGGGGCTACGCCCCCTCGAGTGTCTCGGAACTGGGCCCCTCCCCTTTCCACACCACCGAGGCGTGGCCTCAGAACCTCCTCACGCGGAGTCTGAAGCCCACCGTGGAAGCCCCGCCCCCGCCCGGACCTCTCGGCTCGGCCGAACTCGCAGCCCCGCCCCCTCCCGAAGGCCGATGGCTCGGGGTTCGGGCGCCCTCGGCTCCCGTCAACCGCGCAGCCAGGCCCCGCCTCCTCCGGCCGCAAGCGCTCCCGGTAGGGGAGTACCCGCCCCACTGAGCGAACCCCACAGCCGGAGGCTCCTCCCACTGAACACCCGCTGTCCGTTCCCCGCTCGGGCGGGCTCACCCCCTTCGCGAGCGTTCCCCTCAGAATGCCGCACCGTCCTCCCACAGAACCAGTCACCTCGTAAACACCAGCTCTCACTCCCGGCGGAGCCACCCCCTACGTAGCGCGCCACGCGCCGCTTCCTCCACCCCTCCCCATCCCGACCCCCTGCGTCAATTTCGTCACGCCGCCACCTCAGCGAAGCGGGAAGCCTGGGATCCGCCCCCAGTGGCGCCGTAGCCCCGCCTTCCCGTGGAGTGGCACACCTTGGTCCCGCCCTCGCGAAGCGAACCTCCCCCAGCCGCTTGGGCTCCGCCTCTAGAAAAAGTGAGGTTAATTACCTTGGTCCCGCCCTAGTAGCGTACACGTCAGCTGGCGTCCCGCCCCCTCAGGTTGGACTGCTGTTAACCCCGCCCCCTTGGAACGATCCAGATCACCGCCTCCCTTCGTGTTGCTTAAGCCTGTGGCCCCGCCTCCTTCTTACCCTCTACCCCGGACTGCGCCTATCTCTTAATCTGAGTCAAACAGGGCCTGTGACTCCGCCCACTTCCGGCCGAAGCTCTTGGCCCCGCCTACATCCGAACAGGGACCGAAACTCGTGGCCCCGCCTCCAAACTGCCGCCGATTGTGGCCAAAGGAACCCGAAGCGGAAGCCCCGCCTCCTCCCGAAGCTTCGGGCCCCTCCTTCTGGCAAGCCCGAGGCTCCGCCTCTTTACGTGCTCCCGGCTCGGTTGCTGTGCGGTCCAGGTGCTGCGGCGGAGTGGTCCTCTCCTGCGCTCGGAGCCCGCCGCTTCCCTACCTGGCCCGCAGCCTGACGGAGCCGCGCACCCGGCCCGGGCGGGACCGCGACGGAGCGGCGCGCGCTGGACGGGGGAGGCGTGGCCGGAGCCGGGGCGCCCGTGAGCAGGTACTGCTCGGCCGCCTCTCGCCCGGCGGGCGGCGCGGAGCCGGGCCCAGGTGAGCCGGGGCGGGGCCGCTTCGGGGGCCGGGTTGGGGGGTGGCTGCGGACCCGCTGGCCGACCGGGGCGGGCGTGGCACCGAGAGCGCGGCCGAGCGGGGAGTGGCGTAACCGCCTGTGGCTCTGCGGGGGAGGTCTGACCTGAGCTGGGGGGGAGCTGGGGAGGAGCTGGAGGGGGCGACCTCCGGGCTTTGGGTGGGAGAAGCTTCTGCAGCTCCGGAGCAGGTGGAGGCCGGAGCCTGGGTTCCCGCAGAGGGAGGCCCGCCGGGTCCCTGGATCCTCGGAGGAGGAGGAGACTAGGAGCTCTGGAATCCTGGGCTCTCCACGGGAAGGGCCCGGGACAAGGATTGTTGCTGGGTTCTCAGAAGGCGATGTCTGAATCTCTGGGTCTTCAGTGAGGGGGGAGTAGCTTTGATTTCTGCGATCGCAGAGGGCCTGAGAGGTCTGGATTCCAGGAGAAGAGAATTCGTGGCTTGGGTTCTCAGAAAAGCGGGGCTGGGGGTGGATTTCTTTATCTTCAAAGGAGGAAGGTTCTGGAGGTCCGGATTCCCCTCTTCGCAGAGGAGAGGAGCTGAGGGTGGGACTCCATGATCCTCGACAGCTGGGGACTAGGGAGTGTGAATTCCTGAATCCTCCGAGGGGGAGGGGTGAAGGCCCGGACTCCTGGGTTCTCACAGTGAATCTCTGCCCCTCCCCAGACCATGTCGCCTGAAGAGTGGACTTATCTAGTGGTTCTTCTTATCTCCATCCCCATCGGCTTCCTCTTTAAGAAAGCTGGTGAGTCAGGTTCCCTCCCTAGTGGAAAATGGGGGGGGGGGCAGGCAGGGGACTCCCTGGAAGGTTCCAGGCTTATGCTGTCCCTTCTCTCTGCAGGCCCCGGGCTGAAGAGATGGGGGGCAGCAGCTGTGGGCCTGGGGCTCACCTTGTTCACCTGTGGCCCCCACACATTGCATTCTCTGGTCACCATCCTTGGGACCTGGGCCCTCATTCAGGCCCAGCCCTGGTGAGGATTCGGTGGGGAGGGTTTGGGGAGGGGGGAAACAGGAGGGGGGAGAGGAGGGGGAGGAGGAAGCAACCTGTTATCCTCTTTGGGTCTGTCTCCCTTTCTGCCTGTGTCTCTGGGTGTCTCTTGTTTATCTCTGAATTCTCTGTGTGGTTGCGTCTGTTTTTCTTCCTCTCCTGCCTCTTCTGGGTCTCGTCCCCGTGTGTCTCACCTGGTCCCTGAGATCCAGTTCATGTAATCAGGAGAAAGGAGGACTTGTGCAGGTCCTGCTACCATTCGCGTTTCTATCATGTCTCTCTCCCTCCTTTTTCTTGCCTCCCGCAGAAAAAATGGAGGACTGGAGGGTTTTCACCCGAAAGCCTCTCTTGAGCCCTCCTCATTCTCTTCTCTGTCGTGGTGCGTTTGTGTGGCTGTGCCCTTTCTTCCACGGTCCCTCCCCCATTTTCTGTGGGAGGTGGGGGAGGATCTGTAGCTAGAGGGCTCTGTACCCAGCACGGCCGGCCTTCTGCCTTTGCCCCAGCTCCTGCCATGCCCTCGCCCTCGCCTGGACCTTCTCCTACCTCCTGTTCTTCCGCGCTCTCAGCCTGCTGGGCCTGCCCACTCCCACGCCCTTCACCAATGCCGTCCAGCTGCTGCTCACCCTGAAGGTCAGACTCCCCTCCGGCCCTCCCTTTGTGCGTGGGGATCTCCCCATCCTCACCTCCCCCTCCCGCCCACTCACCGGGGAGCCAGGGAGGCGGGCTTTCATCTCCCACACACCCCCAGGGGTGGGACTTCACCTCTCTTGTGCTCTGGGGCAGGCCCTCACCTCCCAGCTATGCTCTGGGGTAGAGAAGCACATTCCCGCCCCCTGCCCCCCACCCTCCTAGCATAGCCGTCTGTGTGCTTCCCGGAGGCTGAGTGCTTCCCCCACGTGCTCGTGCTCTTGAGGACTGCATGTTGGTAGCGAGCCATTTAGCGAAGTAGGAGAAACAGCTTGGGAGAGAAGGCACTTACCTAAGGGTACAAAAGCAGGACGCCTGGGTGTGGCTGTCAGTCACCAGGGAAGATGGGTGAAAGCGGATCCCCCGGTCCCACCGGAGACTGAAAAGTCAGGAGCTGCCGCGTGCTGGGCTCGCGAACCAGGTCTCGCCCGTGTCCTGCCTTCTCCGCAAGAAGGCGAGGACAGGCAGGAGTCGGTTAGCCAAGAGTTGGAGGGAGAGCCTTTCGGGATGTCGGAGCAGCTTGTGGAAGGGAGCAGGCCGGTGTGGGGGGTGGGCAGGCCACACGCATTCAGCCCCAGGGATGGGGGTGGGGAGCAACCCAAAAGCGACAGACTCCGAGACCCACGGGGTTAGATTTGGAGAGGAAGGAAGGTTTCTGGCCCGAGCAGTTAATTGGCTGCTGGTGCGGTTGCCGAGGAGCCAGGCCAGAAAAGGACCTGCTCTGGGGAGTGGGTGACCCCGTGTTCCCCTCTGGGTGCGTGAAGTTTGAGGAACCACGGAGGCCTAGGACTGTCAATGGCCAGAGGCCCCGAGATGGGTTTGGGGGTTGGAGGGAGGAGCCCAGTCTGGGAGTACAGTTTGGAGATCCCGAGAGCATGGGTGATACCAAAGCATGGGCTGCAGAAGAACCCAGAAAAGGGAGCACAGAGGGGGAGAGGCCAAGGAGGGAGGGTGGGGGACACCTGCTGGCGAGAAGCCGCTACCCTGCCACTCCGGACTCCAGACGCCCGCTGCCCACGGGAACGGACCTCAGCTCCCCGCTCAGCTCCCAGGGGCACGCGGGCCACAGCATCCCTCTGCTGCTGCGGGAGGGGGCGGTGAGGAAGTCCCGGGGTCTGTCTGACCGGCCCCCACCCGTGCCCCTTCCCCCCAGCTGGTGAGTCTGGCCAGTGAAGTGCAGGACCTGCACTTGGCCCAGAGGAAGGAAATGGCCTCTGGCTTCAGCAAGGGGCCCAGCCTGGGGCTCCTGCCCGACGTTCCCTCCCTGATGGAGACGCTCAGCTACAGCTACTGCTACGTGGGAATCATGACAGGTGAGTGTGCCTGCGCCCCCAGGCCTGTCCCCTGCCCCTCGTCACCCTCTGTCTCTGCTCCGCTCCCCGGGTTTGGTGCCCGTCTGGTGTCCCTGCCTCTGCTCCAGTGTCTGCTCCTCTGAGGGCAAGCGTCGAGGCGTGGGTCTAGCTCAGCCTCTCCCACTGCTCTCCAGAGCAGACGCAGACTGTTCTCGGCCTCAGTGATGGCTCCCGGCTTCTTGGGGGGACACGGGATGAAGCGGAAAGGTCCACACAGCCGCGCTCTTTCTGCCACCCGGGGAACAACTTTTCCCGTTATGCTCCCACTTGTGCCTCGGAATGTTTTTCACTCGTGTTGACCTTCCAGAAGGTTCTCTTTTCAGTGGCAGCTGTGACTATTGAGCTGTAATGGACATGTTCACCCACTGAAACGACATGCCATTTGCTCGCTCATTGGAGTTGGGGGTCCAGCCGCCACTGCCACGTCATTGTAGGACAGTTGTGTCACCCCACAAGGGGACCGCGGGCCCTGCCGCTATCATCCTTCCAGCCTGCATCTGCCCCCAGTCCGTGGACACCACCGGTCAGCCTCCTGTCTCTGTAGACTTGCCCATTCTGATCATTTACGAATGGGATCCTACTCTCTCTGGCCTTGTGTGACCTGGGAGGCTGTCACTTCTGTCCATCCCACTGCCCCCTCCCCTGGCCGGGTCTACAACTGTTTCCTCTCCATCAGTGACCCCCTGTGGTCCCTGCCCTGCTTGCGGTGGTGGGAGGGCAAGGGAAACCGGATTCCAGCACTTTGCAGCCTGTGGTGGTTTCCTAGGCCTTTGAACAGAGCTCCCAGTCCTCAGTGTCTGTAAGGCCGGGCGCCTCCCCCATGCAGGCCTCTGACTTCCCCCATCAGCCTCTTCCTCCCCAGAAGCACTGCTCCACCCCCTCCCTCACGCACAGCTGCCTCCCACCCCCACCCTCGGGGTCTGGCTTGTCCATCCCCATCTTCCTGAGGGACTTGTCTCCATAGCATCCCTTCTCCAGGTCTTTGTTCCTCTCGATCTGGCTGTCCTCTTTCTCTTTGAGTCCCGTGAACTCTCCGTTTCTGGTTTCTTTCTTTCTTTCTCTTAAGATTTTATTTTATATTTTTAATTTCTCTCTCCTTCCAAGTTTTATTTAAATTCTTGTTAGTTAACATATAGTGTCGTATTGGTTTCTGGAGAATTCAGTGCTCCTCACAAATGCCCTCCTTAATGCCCATCCCCCATCCAGCCCATTCCCTGCCCACGTCCCCCCATTAGCCCTCAGTTTGTTCTCTATCATTAAGAGTCTCTTACGGTTTGCTTCCCTCTCTTTTTCACCCCTTCCTCTGGGTTCCTCTGTTCTGTTTCCTAAAGTCCGCATATGAGTGATGTCCTGTAGTGTTTGTCTTTCTCTGACTTACTCACGGAGCATCGTACTCTCTAGTTCCATCTACGTCACTGTGAATGGCTGGATTTCATTCTTTTTATTGGCCAAGTAATATTCCTTTATGTATACACACCACACTTTTAAGATTGTATTTTTTTTTTTAAGATTTTATTTATTTATTTGGCGGGGAGACAGTGAGAGAGGGAACACAAGCAGGGGGAGTGGGAGAGGGAGAAGCAGGCTTCCCGCCGAGCAGGGAACCCGATGTGGGGCTCTATTCCAGGACCCTGGGATCATGACCCGGAGCTGAAGGCAGACGCCCAACGACTGAGCCACCCAGAGCCCCTTAAGATTTTTTTTTTTTTTAAGATTTTATTTATTTATTTATTTGACAGAGATCACAAGTAAGCAGAGAGGCAGGCAGAGAGAGGGAGAAGCAGGCTCCCTGCCGAGCAGAGCGCCCGCTGCGGGGCTCAATCCCAGGACCGTGGGACCACGACCTGAGCCACCCAGGGACCCCTAAGATTGTATTTTTAAGTCACCTCCACACCCAGCACCCAACGTGGGGCTGGAACTCAGGACCCCCAAGATCAGGAGCCTCCCAACTCACTGGCTTCTTGTCCCTTTCAGTCTCTCTCCCCTCGTTCCAGGTTTCATACCCATCCCCCACCCTCTGGGCTTCCAGACCCTGAGCTGCGGTCCCCTCCCAGCCCTAGGAGTCTCTGACCAGCTGCCCCCTCCACAAGTCTCTGCTTCTCCCCACCATCCAGTTCGCAGTCTCTGGCCCCTTCACCAGTCTCTGCTTCCTCCCCAGTCTCAGGCCCCCAGCCTCCAGACCCCAAGCGTCTGACCAGCTGCCCCCTCCCTCCCTCCCGCCACAGGCCCGTTCTTCCGCTACCGCACGTACCTGGACTGGCTGGAGCAGCCTTTCCCGGGGGCCGTGCCCAGCCTGCGGCCCCTCCTGCGCCGCGCCTGGCCGGCCCCACTCTTCGGGCTGCTCTTCCTGCTGTCCTCGCACCTCTTCCCGCTGGAGGCCGTGCGCGAGGATGCCTTCTACGCCCGCCCGCTGCCCGCCCGCCTCTTCTACATGGTCCCCGTCTTCTTCGCCTTCCGCATGCGCTTCTACGTGGCCTGGATTGCCGCGGAGTGCGGCTGCATTGCCGCTGGCTTCGGGGCCTACCCCGTGGCCGCCAAAGCCCGGGCCGGGGGCGGCCCCACCCTCCAATGCCCACCCCCCAGCAGGTCAGGCAGCGGGAGGGAGGCCTCCCCAGACCCGGCAGGCCCCATCAGCACAAACTGGCCCTGCCCCTAGCAGGGAGGAGAGCGGGGGAGCAGGGGGGCGGGGTCACCACCTGTTGTCAGTGCAGTGTCACCCCTGGCCACCACAACCCACCTGCCCCTGGCCTAGAGACCTGCCCCTCTCCTGGGGAGCAGCACTCCCGGGACCTCCCGCTGCCCCTTGTGCTACTGCTTGTCCCCTCTTGGGATGGTGGACTGCTGTCTGTAGTCAGGAGAAGGAAGGTGGCTTCTCAGCGACCATGTGCCTCCCCTCTATCGCCATGGAAGTGTCACCCCAGTAACTCCGTTGTTCTGGTTACTTGGGATACCATCTTTGGGCTGGGCTGGGCCCACTCTTTGTTGCTAGGGCAGTGGTTCCCTAGCACCTGGCCTGCCCCTCTTTGCTAGGGAGGCGGTTCCCTAGCAACTGTGGCCTGTCCCTTCCTGCCCCAGGACTGGCTTACCCCCACCCCCACCCCCCAGATTGCCCTTTGCTGCTAGAACCCTGCTCCCCTTCCCCTCAACTATGGGATGCCCTGGCAGCCTGCACTTTCTAGGGAAATGGCATCCCTGACCGTGCTGCCCTCTAGCGGGGGTGGGGGGTGATACCCCTAACCACCGCAGGTTGCTTTCCTACCATTGCCCAGGACATACCGTGGTAATGATGAATTGACCTGGTTAACAATGTTACACTCTCCTCCCACCCCACTGCCAGTAATTAGGGGCATCTTGTTGCTAAGGAAGTGTTGCACCTACGTTGCTAGGGAAATGGTGCTCCCAGCAACAGGGAATGGACCACCCCACTGTTCTTGGCAACCAGGGATGGCCTTCTGCCTGGGGCTAGGGCTACGGGGAGCAGCCCATTGATGTAAATTATGAATTCCTCCTTGCTCGGGTTGGGCCATCCCCTAGTTGTCATGGACAGCCATTCCATTAGGGGGGAAGCAGCACCCCCACACAAATTTCAGCCACTGCCCTAGTAACCATGGGGGGACCTCTGGTCACCAGAGACGGTGTCTCCCAGAAAAAAGTCAAGCAGGAATTGAAGGCTCTTCTAAATACGCTGGGCTCTGCTCTCAGTAGATGGCTCCCGTCCCATTATCAGAAGCCACCAGCGGTTCCAGTGGGGGGTGGGGTGTCCACTACTGCTGGGGTTGTTGGCACCAGGGACTCAGGAACCACTGTATTGCTGGAGATGACACTTCTTCAACAGTCATAGGGACCAACAGCCACGAAAGGCCCTTTCTGGAAGCGTTTCTAAACATCCCAGGCCTTGTTGCTAAGGAATGCCCTTTCCCTAGCAACAGAGACCGGCCAGGTGTCACGTGGGTCTAGAACATCTCCCTAGCAACCACAAAGCCTCTCCTTGTTAGGGATGCTCCTTCCCTAGCAATCACAGCATCTGGTCCACTTAGAAGGGACACACCTCGAGGCCCCTGGGAATGTAGTGAGCTTGGCTGCTGAGGAATGGCCTTTCCCTAGCATCTAGAGCCGTGAAGGGCCAGGTTGCTAAGGACCCGTAGCTTAGCAACTATAGCCCCTCCAGGCCTTTGTTGCTGCTGCAGCCCCCTTACCAAGAGGAGGAGGGCCCCGCTGTCGGTGAACTGTGCCCCCCCCCCGCCCCCACCCGTCCTCCCTCCCCAAAAAGGCTCCCGCTGAGCTACCCTCCCCTGTTGCCCTAGCACACGTGGCAGCCAGAGCTCTTCCCTGGCCAGGATCCCCTCCTGAGCGGCCGGGGCTGGGACAGGAGCCAGCGTCGGGAGGGGGCCTGGCTGAGCTGCATGTCTGTCCCCCACCCTCACCCTCCACTCCCCCAGTCCCGAGAAGGCAGCTTCGCTGGAGTACGACTATGAGACCATCCGCAACATCGACTGCTACGGCACGGACTTCTGCGTGCGGGTGCGGGATGGCATGCGGTACTGGAACATGACGGTGCAGTGGTGGCTGGCGCAGTATATCTACAAGAGCGCGCCCGCCCGCTCCTACGTCCTCAGGTGAGCTGGCCGCCCCCCCCCCCCCGGAAAACACGGAACTACAGCTTCCGGCAGCGCCTGGGGATGCCCGCCGCTTCCCTGCAGGCCGCCGCCCCTGAGGATCATGGGAGTTGTAGTTTCTTGAGGCTGGTGCCCTGCCGTGGCTTCGCGTTGCTCTGGGGCTAGACCGCTCCCCCTCCCTGGGCCTCAGTTTCCACCTCTGTAAAGGCGGCCTCCTTCGACAGAAGCAGCGTACTGAACCCTGTGGACTCTGGCCAGACTCTGGAATCCTGGCCCCGCCAGCTCCAGAGAAAGCTTACTGAGTTAGTGGACCTGTGTTTGTTCCAACTCTTGAATGGGGGAATGCTGTTACCAGCTACATAGTTCACGGTGAGGGTGAAGCGCGGTAAAGTGTGCCGTGTCCTCACTGTGGGGCCCTCTAGGTGAGTGGTCACCGCATCTTAGCTTTTTCTCGTCACTCATCTGGTATTTCTCCGGTGGGAGCCGAGTGTGGCCATTGTGCTATTCGCAGCCTGAGGACACAGGACTTGAGAGGACATGGAGGCCCAGCAAGGTGATCCAGCCCAACGGCATCCCTCGGTCTTCCCAGAGCCGGCAGATGAGGCTGCTGGGGCGCGGCTGACACGTCTCCGCTGGAAGCGGTTGCTCGTCGCCCCAGACTCCGCTCAGAGCCGGGCTTATGGGTGTGGGGAGGAGGAGGCAGCGTCCTGCCAGGTGCTGGCTGTGGGGGACTGAGGGCCCAGAAGGGCCCGTCTAGGGGTGGGGAGATCTGGCGGGAGGTGGGTGCAGGAGCGGGACAGGTGAGGGAGCCCAATGGGTCTGGGGTCACCAAGCCCAGGGTGACAGTCACGTTCAGCCAGGGTTACTGGATGGGGCATTAGATGGATGACACTGAAGACCTGCAGGAGAAGGTCGGGGTAAGAAGCGGTCACTCCAGTGTCCTCAGGTGGTGGCGATACCGAAGGCTCGGGGGCCGAGCATCGGGGCAATGCCCAGTGTTTGCATTAGAGGTTTTCAGCTGGGAGCTGTCATCCCACAGTCCGGGTGGCACTGCTGGGAGGGGCTGCTGGCAGCCAGGGGTTAGAGGCCCGAGATGCTGCTCCAGCCTGGGAGGCACAGGACAGCCCGCCTGTAGCACAGAATCATCCATCCAGGCCCCAAATGTCCACACTGTGGAGATGGAGAAATCCTGGTATGGACTAGGGACGAGGAGGAGCCAGCGAAGTCACAGCCAGTGAGCTAGGAAGACAGTCATGAAAGTGGGAGCCAAGTGAACCAAGTGTTGCGAGGCGGAGGGAGGATCTCTTGTATCAGATGATGTACAACGGAGGCGGGGGCTGAGCAGGATGGGAGGAGGAAGTCTCCAGAACCTTGAGCAGCAGTTTGGAGGGCGGAAGTGAAAGCCAGCTGGAGCCATTGGAGGGAGACCGGAAAGGGGGAAGGGGTGGGGGAGCGTTGTTCTTTGGAGAGCGGTCACTGCACAGAGGAGCGGCCAGACAGGGGTGGGGGGGGGGGGGGGGGGGAGTAGGACCGAAGCCCAGAGCTCAGGTGCGCCTGCGTGGAGTTCCAGGTGCCCAGCGCCCATTCATGTGCAACCCACTGCCCTGCTTCCCCCTGTTGGGGACCCTCACCTAAATGCTCCAACCCATAGGGCTCTTTTCCACCACAGGTAGAAAAGAAAGAAAGTTGTGTTCATGAATTAGTATAAACCAGGCTGTGCTACACACTGCGAGGAACCCACTAGGGAAATCACCACAACAGGAAGAAAGCTCACCTTTTTTATAGACCCGCAGACAAGGAAGAGCCCCCTTCCCCAGCCCAGATCACAGTCTGTGGCACAGCCTGCTCCTATTTCTCCGTCTTCCATGGAAGTGGGACCAGAGCCTGAATTTGTGGGTCGTCAACGGAGAGCATGTTTGAGTCCATAAAAAGAGGGGAACGTGGTTGGAGATTTCTGAGTCTTCCTGAATTGGAAATTACACTGATCCCCAAAAGGAAGTGGCTGGGGGCTCAGGTTCATGGGTCTTAAGGAAAGATGTGCTGAAAGGATTAACTGGGTTCCTGAAGCTCTAGGGAGTAGTGACTTCTGGGTCTGAGGGAGGAGGGGGCTGGGGTCTGGACTCCTGGGTCTGAGGGAGGAGGGGCTGGGGCTGGGCTCCCAGGTCCTGAGTTGCAACCTCTCCCCCAGGAGCGCCTGGACCATGCTGCTGAGCGCCTACTGGCACGGCCTCCACCCTGGCTACTACCTAAGCTTCCTGACCATCCCGCTGTGCCTGGCTGCCGAGGGCAGGCTGGAGTCAGCCCTGCGGGGGCGGCTGAGCCCCAGGGGCCAGAAGGCCTGGGACTGGGTGCACTGGTTCCTGAAGATGCGCGCCTACGACTACATGTGCATGGGCTTTGTGCTGCTGTCCCTGGGAGACACCCTCCGGTACTGGGCCTCCGTCTACTTCTGCGTGCACGTCCTGGCCGCCGTCGCGCTGGGGCTGGGGCTGGCTCTGGGCGGGGGCGGCCCCAGCCGGAGGAAGACGGCGCCCCCGGCCGGCAGCCTTGCCCCGGAAAAGCTCCGGGAGGAGTAGGCAGTAGACAGCCGCCACCGCACTCCCTTTGCGCGTCAGTCCGGCCACCAAGCTTTTGGCTGGGAATTCCGTGAACCAGGCTGCTGTCTCCTTTCCCAGAAAGCGCTGAATTTGGCTGGGGGCCTGGAGAGGATTCCCGTTCCTCAGCTCGGGCCCCCCCCCCGCCTCCGACGCAGCAGGGCGGGGGGCTCCCCCTGCTCCCCTGCCGTCCGCCCTGAGGGCTCAGGAAGCTGTCATACCCCCTGGAAAGTCAAGGTGTTGTCCAGAGGAGAATCTCCCCTTGTCCCGACCGCGGCGTCCAGAGCGCGCTGCCCTTTCCGCAGCGCCCCCAGCAGGGACCCCCGGGGCCACGGGGTTTCCCGGACGGATTCCCCTTTCCCGGGCGCCGGCTGCAGGGCAGCTTTTGGGAGAGCCACCCTCTCTCCCCAGGCTTTGCCCCACGTTCACGGAACAGTGTTTCAGGTCCGGAAGGGAACATTACCCTCTCATTTCATAACGGGGAAACTGAGGCACCGAGGAGCCGGCCTTTGGACATGGTTCTTGCACTCCTGTCACCCTCTTGTCATTCTCTGGCCTAGAATAAGGTCGTAATGTGTGAACCTCCCCCCAATAAAATGTCTCACAAAGACCGTATGTGTGTCTGGGGGTGGTCATAGGTGCGGGGCTCCCCCGGATGCAGGGTGATGGGCTCCGCTCCCAGGAGACACACCGGCGTCAGGGGGTTTCCGTTCCCAGGGGACCTTCCGGAACAGCCGTCCTGATGGTCCCCGCCCCCAGCCACCTGGTGGCCAGGTACGCACCTGCCCCAGTCCCTGCCTTCCCTGGGGCAGTCCCCGCCCGGCTGTCCGCTGGAGACGGAAGCAGTTTCACCTGAGGCCGTGGAAGAGCGCCCGCCCGATGTGGGAACCGGAGGCCTGGGGCTCCTCTGGAGGGTGGCCGGCACCCCGGGGGGCCAGAGCAGGTGCGGGAGTGGGGGGCGGGGGACCCAGCCCCAGGGGCTGGTGGAAATCCTGAGGGAGGCAGAGAAGGGAGGCCGGAACTCCAGGGTCCAGAGGGCAAAAGGGGGAGGGATTTCGATTCCTGGTAGTTTTGAGGGAGAGGGGAACCAGGGGATGGGGCTCCTGAGTCCTGGGGAGGATTCTGGAGGTGCAGACTCCAGTCTCAAAGGAGGGGGCCAAGTTCAAAAACTGAGTAAGCTTTAAAAAGAAGCTGAAGAGTGGGCTTCTCAGTCCTGAGATAGTAGGGGCCTAGAGGGCCCACATTTGGGTGCTTGTGGGGCATGAGGCCCAGACTCCCGGGTCTGAGGAAGGAAGGGCTGGGGGCCTGGACTCCAGGGTCTGAGGGAGGAGGTGCTGGGGTTCTGGACGATTGGTCTGAGGGAGGAGGGAGTGGAAGCTGGGACTCCTGCGCCCTCCCAGCCCCTGCTGTCCTGCCCCAGGCCCATCCCTCTCTTCTGTGCTGAATGAGCTCCCCAGTGCCGCTACCCTTCGGTACCGAGGCCCTGGGGTTCTGCCATGGGGGGCATCGGAGGAGGAGGAAGAAGATGGAGACAGGAATATCCAGGCCATCGCAGAAGCCACCCAAAAGGAGCTGGAGGAGCCCCTCCCCTCCCGGGAACTGCCTTGGCCCCTGCAGGCCCGCCGGGCACACAGGTGAGTCTCCTGTCCCACCTCCCAGCCAGGTGAGGGCTGTCCTCGGGCTTGCTGGCACTGTGTCTCCTCACTGGGTCGTCCGACTCTCCCTGCTTCTCTTGGCATCTTTCGCCCATGCCCATGTCTCTGCTTCTCCGACTCCAAGGAGTCCAGTCTCCCTGACGCTGGGACTCTTCCCTCGGCCGAGTTCACGGTCTCGGTCTCTGCTCAGGCTCTTTCTCCCTGGGCCTGAAATCTGCTCTTCGTGTTTCCTTCTCTACAGTAAGTCGGTCTCTGCCTCCGGACTCATCCTTTCCCTCCCCGGTCTGCACGATTCGCTGGGCTGGGGGACAATGAACGTGCTGGCGGCTAGGTCAACACTGACAGGTGCCCCCCGCTATCCCAAACACAGTGTCCTAGCAAACCTTTCATAAACCTGCTCAGCATAGAGCAGAGTCCTGTGTGTCTTTCCTGAAAACAAAGAAGGCACTGGAACTTCGGGCAAGTGGGGGATACCTGTGGGGTACCATGTGTTCCCAGAAACAGCAGAACCTAAGAAGCAGGTGCGAAGCCCTTCTGAGAATGGGGTCGTGTGTCTGGAAATTGTTCTCCGAACCCCATCGTTCTGGGGGTTTAGGGTGGTTTTGTCACACAGCCATGCTTGCTGAAATCTTTGGCCACTAGTGACGGGATGCACCACCCAGCCCTGCTTCTCTCCCTGCAGCTGCGGGAGAGGTTCCCCTAGCAACCAGCCCCCACTCTAAGTCGGGGTCCAAAAACACCTCACTTATTTTACAAAAGACCCATTTATCGCATCACTTAGGGCATCCCAAGGGTTTGCCAGGGCCAGGGACAGAAACCAGATATATATTTATAAATCACAGGGTCACACCTTCCTTTTTTCTTTCCCTTTTTACTTTTCCTTTATGACGTTTGCCTACAGAAAAGTGTACGAGGCATTGTGTATACACTGAGAGTGTTCCCATGGTGAGCTCCCAGGCAGACTCCACGGAGGGCAAGAGACACCTCCGTGGGACCCAGAGGCACCCCACGTACCCCGTATCACCCCCTTTCTCCCCACGGTGTCCCCTCCCAGACTTCTAGGACGAGCTCTCGCTTTTCTGTGGCGCCTTGCCACCGGCGAGTGCGTCCCTACAGGGCGGGCTGCGCGCTTGCCCGGAGCTCTGCTCGGGGATCCCTGCGGTCTGAGTACCCTGCCGGGCTTCTGTGCCTCTTCCTGTTGGCCCGGAGTATCCCCAGTCACCGATATGCTGCCGTTGACTTCCTGGTCCCGCTCTTGTCTTGTTGCTCCGTTTGGGTGGTATCCAGCTGGGGCTGCTGGGCCCTTCCTATTCTGCTTTGAATCTGTTTCGCTACCAGGCAGAGCCATGCCAAGGACCAGGGGGCTCAGAGATCGGGTTCGAGAGGCGAGCAGTGGGCCCTGTGGCTTCGGCGGTCCAAGGAGAAGATGAAGGCGGGCCTGCATACCTTGCAACCCTGGGCGTGGACACTGAAGAGAATCGGGGGTGCAGTGGGGTTGAGGCTGGTGTCTTGGGGCGGGTCCCACTCCCGGGACTGAGGGAGGAGGGGCTGGGGTCCTGGACTCCCAGGTCTGAGGGAGGAGGGGCTGGGCTCCTGGACTCTGGGTCTGAAGGAGAAAGAGCTGGGGGTCTGGACTCCTGGGTGTGGAGGAGGAGGGGGCTGGGGTCTGGACTCCCGGGTCTGAGGGAGGAGGGTCTGGGGGCCTGGATGCCCCAGTCTGAGGAAGGAGGCCCCAGACTCCAGACTCAGAAAGGAGCCCCAGGCCTCTCTGGCTCCCCCTGCAGGCCAGTTTGGCGCAGGCACGGAGTCCTACTTCTCCCTGCTGCGTTTCCTGCTGCTTCTCAACCTGCTGGCGTCCATACTTAAGGCCTGCATGACGTTGCTTCCCACCTGGCTGGAAGGGACTCCCCCGGGTCCCCCAAGCCGTAACGCCTCCTCACCCTGCGGCTTCTACGACCCCAATCCCCAAGGCCTGGTCGCCTTCCCCACCCATCTCTTCAACCTGCTCTCAGGAGAGGTGCGTCCCTGGGAGAGTCCCTCTGAGCCTCAGGGCCCCCCAGTTCTGATCGCCCAACTGCATGGTGCACTTTCCCTTTGCAGGGTTTTCTAGAATGGTCTCCTCTCTTCTATGGGTTCTACCCACCCCGCCCACACCTGGCAGTCACCTACCTGTGCTCTGTCTTTGTCATTGGCCTCCTGGACCTGCTGCTCATCCTCCATCGGTCAGTAACACCGGCCCCCCGGGACCTCAGGGAGCTGGGGAGAGACTAGTGCTGGGAGAAGACCCCCTCCCCAAGGATCCAGAGTCTTGCTCTGTGATCCCTTTCTCTCAGTTGGACTTGAAATCACACTTAAAAATGCTTCATACATGCTAAAGACCAGGGACAACGATGGGCTATTTCTCCTTCCTGGGGCTTAGGGGTTAGGAGGGGAAGGTAAGATAGTACCCGAGCAAAGTGACCACCTCTTTTCTGGAGGGGCGAGTGCTCTATGGGAAGCAAACTGGGGTGGTTTGTTCATTCCAACAAGAAATACGTTTTGAGCCCCTACTATGTGCCGGCCAGTGTTCTAGACAGTGGGCAAAACAGGACAAGAAACAAACCTGACTGAGTCCTGCCTCAGGGGAGCTGACAGTCTACGAGCTGGAGACAGGTGATAAGCAGCCATCCATACATGAGTCAGTGACGGGGCGTGTTAGCAGGTGATCAGGGCTCTGGACGCAGCAGGTGAGGCGGGCTGCTGTCTTATTAGGTGCCCAGGGCCGCCTCATTGAGACAAGACCTCTAAACAAAGCCGTTGAGAGGGAGAGGGATCGGTCAAGTAAATACCCGGGCAGAGAGCATCGCAGGCAGAGGGCACAGCCAGAGCAAGCAGGAGCAGGGTGGTGTGCTGGAGGGCACCCTGGGCAGCCGGTGGGCCCAGGGCAGAGGGGGTGGGGGGAGCCAGTGGAGATGCACCTGCTGTCTGTAAAGGATTTGGAGGCTTTTGGAGGGAGATGGGACTCCCTGCAGGTCCTTGAGCAGAAGATCACCCTGATATGATTTAGGTTTTATAAAGGATTCTTCCTTTCTGGCTCTGTGGAAGAGAGAGGGAGGGAGGGAGAAGGAGAAGCAAGAAGGGAAGAAGGGAGGGAAGGGGGTAAGGGATGGACAAGCCCGTGGCAGGTGGAATCATTACAAGGTATTGCAATCCAGGCAGGAGACGGTGGCGGCTTGGAGCAGGGTGGTGGCAGTGGCTGATTTTGGATTTTTCTTCTTTAAAAAAAAAAAAATTGAATTTCTACTCCCCCCTCCCAGCTTTCTTGAGATACAATGGACAGAAATAATATTGTGTTAGCTTAAGGCGTACAAAGTGTTGAACTGATACATTTATATATTGTAACATGATTGCCTCCATCTCTAGCCAGCTTTGGGAGACAGGGCACATCAGGTCGTTTCCGTATCTTGGCTACCCCCATATCTTGAATGTGGGGGTACAGATGTCTCTTTGAGATCCTCTTTTCATTAACCTTGGATACATACCCAGAAGTGGGATTGCTGGGCGATACGGCAGCTCTATTTTTAATTATTTTTTTGGGGGGAGGGAGACCTCCATACTGTTTTCCACAGGGACGCACCAGTTTACGTTCCCAGCAATGCACGAGGGTTCCCTGCTCTCCACATCCTCACCAACATGTCTTGTCTTCTTGATGAGAGCCATCCCGACAGGTGGGAGGGGATCGCTCATTGGGGTTTGATGGGCACGTCCCTGCTGACCAGTGATGATGAACACTTATTCAAGCACCCGTTGACCTTCTAGATGTTTGCAGAAAAATGTCTAGTCAGTTTCTCGGCCCCTTGAAAAATTGTTTTTTGCTGTTGGATATTGTCT